GTAGCCAGGGGTTCTCAGCTAGTTCAGCAATTCGATATAGCCCAGGTCTATAGCTATGGGCAGAATCCTCCACTGTCTCGGTAGCTCATGTCCATCAGTGTAGGCTAGAGTTCTTGGCTCTGTAAAGAGCCTTTGGGTCTTCAGTGTTCAGCTCAGTGTTCCCGGTTAAGTGGAGAAAGTTTCAGGTTGAGCTCTTTGAGGTATAAACACCTTTAGCTTGGATACTAGATGCTACATAATATTCAACCAATGACATTCAACTTTAGTTTTCAACCAAATACATTAGTCCCAAAGCAATATAGGTTTGACCAATCATGTTCTATCCTTGGCAACATGGTATTAGTCAGGCATATCTCCTTATCCAGGGTCTGCACCTGTTGTGATCAGGGGGCCCTAGGCCTCTAAGAGGCCTAATTGGACATATTAACTCTTCAGTATATTTTCACAAATGTTCTTATCATAATTTCTAACATCAAATTCCTAATCTATTTTTTATTTTAATTCTCACATATGATTTAGTAAGTTCTTAAAATATTTCCTACCTTCATTTATAATAATATATATCTGATTCCCTATATATTTCTGACTCTTAAATTTACAAGTTACATTCTCTTGGCAACCTGGGCAGTAGTAGCAAGTTACATTCCCTTATCAGGATTAACACAGTAGCTTTACAGGCAAGTTATTATCAGTTATATTCCCATATCAAGGGTTTGCACCTCCTTGTCAGTGGGGCTCTAGGCCTCAAAGAGGCCCACTGCAGCATGCTATACTGCTAGTATATTTTTTCATAAATATTCTTATTTCTATACTTAAGCATCAAATTCATTATAATATTTTTTCACAGCAAAATACAATTTAAGATACATCCTAATATGTTACAGCAAAATTAATATATTTTTCTTACATATAAGCTGTTTATATAAATATATATATATATATATATATATATATATATATATTTATCTGAAACTCTAGCCTACTGGAGTACAGGTAAAAAACCATCTTGAAAGTCCCAAATCTTGTTTGACACAGAATTCACAAAGAATAAGTACACAGAATCACGACCATGTCTTAGGAAACTTTATATAATTGTCAATTGCCTAAGGACAATTAATGTCACTCGACAGGTTTTAAAAAAAATAAAAATGGAAGGGTGTAAATTGGCCAAGTGAATAATGGTCTCTTAATTAGAGACTTAGACTGACAGGAATTATATTTACTTCATGTATGAGCAACTTTGCAAGGCTTTCTGTTGACTTGTACCATTATTCAGTAGGTGGAGTCAGTATCCTTCATTAGAATAAAGGTAAACAAATTCAATCCAATTATAAATGGGGGAAAATGTGTGCCCTCTATCACTAAGGGCTGCAGAGGGAGACTGCCACACAGCAAAGAGACGTGTCAGAGGATGAGTGCAAAGTCCATCAACATAGGGCTTGTGGGAGCTCCCTTCTCAAAGGGCCAGGTGAGTACAAAGCACTCCAGGCTCTTAATAATTGGAATTTACTCAAAATTACCAAGTTATTAGAAACTATTATTTTACTTGTCTGATCCAATTTGATTATAGCAAAGAATATATTATTTTAAAATCCTTTTTATGATGGTTACAAATAAATTTATTCATATGGTCCCTGGTCATGCCAATCCCAATTATACTTTAATCTTCCAATTTTTTCCTGAGGTTTTTGTAAAGGAAAGCACTTATTTGTATTGAAATAGGCTACTTCCACATTGCACTTATTCTTTTAGAGCAGTTTTCTCTTGAGGGGGTGTGTGAGGGGGAAGGACTTTAAGAAAATCATTACTTGTCCAAGTCATGCCTAGCAAAGTGTCAAACATTCTGAGGGACTTTCAGAATTGTTTTTTAACTTGGATAATATAAGTATTATTGCTTCATACAATGTCATAAATCATTTGAAGGCTTTACTGATTCCACAAAACTTGTAGTTTACAGATTAAGTGCTAGGTGAAATATTCTATGCACCTCTATGTGAGGGGGGAAAGGAAAAAGAAAATCCTATTAAATAGGTGTTTGTCAGCATTGAAAGGATCAATGGATTTATGAAACTCACAGATTCACCTGGCTGTGCATTAAAACCATGCTGGTAACCCCCCTAATCCCAGTAGCATTTAAATATACACCTTTTTCTCCCCTCCCCTGCTCAGACACACTTGCTTTGGCAAAAGTAAAGCAAGCTCCGAGTTACCTTCATGATCTATGAAAGTCCTGACTCCACTGTCACAGTCATGGTCATTATGTCAGTCCACCTCATCAGAGGCCTTCCTCTCTTGTCCTGACCTTCCACCCATCCAAGCATGATGGCCTTCTACATACAACAGAATAAACTCATGTTTAGTCTTGTACCATCTTAAAAAAAAAAAAGAAAGAAAGAGACCTCATAAAATCTTAGGAATGTAAGTTTGTACTAAAAGTATAAGAAATAAAACAGAAGATAATACATTAGTTGAAACTCCTATAGATTTTGGCTATTGTTTTGTTTTAATGGGTCATTCCCTGGGACCCACTGAATTCCCATTGCCTAGGTAGTCAGTGTTTTGTCTCTTTAGTTTTGAACTTTTGTTTTCCTGTCTGGCTTTTCATTGAAAAAGAAATGTGGCAGAGATCTGAGGCTAGAGACCCAAACTACATTTGGACTCAGTAAATAGTTCTGACTTCCTTCAAAATTTTTTCCAGAACACATCGGTACAGAGCTGACTCTGGTTCCTTCTGGTACTGGAATGAACCTGGAAAACCTGCCAACTCAAAGGCAGGCAGTTCAAATCCACCAGCCACTTCACAGGAGAAAGATGGGCAATCTCCTCCTGTGCAATTTACAGTCTCTGAAAACCTGCGTGAGGGTCAGCTATGAGTTGATTCTGACCCAAGGTCATGTAACAACAAACGCATTTACTAAGGTGGCACTGACTCAAAATCCACTCAATCACAATGGGCTTTGAGGGTTGATGGTTTATTTCTTTTCAGAAACTTCTGAAACTAGTTGTAGCAAAGATGGAATTGAAATCATTGTCTGAAAAGTACCATGAATAAGTGTAAGGAAAAAAAAAAGAAGGTAGTGAGGGAATAACTGGGGAAAAAAGAAGACAAGAAAAGGAAATGAGAGAGCAGACTGAACAGGCCTTGGTCCTTTTATCTCAGCCAAGGCACAATGTTAATAATAACAGTTCCCTATTGCTGATGGAGTTTGCTGCTGCTGGGTCAGTCCTTTCACTCATGGTGACCCAAGTTATGGTGAATCAGCTCATAGGGATCCATCCTACGGGCAATAAAATGTGGTCCATACTGGTTTTGGATCAGGTCATTGCTATGGTCTCCCCACAGTGTTTCCCCTGATTATTGACTCATTTTTGGAAGTAGATTGCCAAGCTTTTCTTCCTACTCTGTCTTAAATGAACATTCTGCTGAAAATCATTTGGCACCATAGCAACATGCAAGTCTCTGCTAACAAGTTTGTGGTGGTTACTTGTGACGTGGAATTGAATGAGAGTTGAATTCAGGTCCCCTACATGAAAAAACCCAACCATCGTTGCCCTCTAATTTGTTGTGGTGGTGCCCTGTTGGAACCAACCCATAGCTGACACTCCAGTGTATTCTCAGAGGCAGTATATATTACAAGCTTGTCCATCTCTCTCCCACAGACTAGATTTGCACCGCATTGCATTGCCATTTTCACTGAAAGGACAATTCCTTACCACTCTCGTGGCCTCATGGTGGAAACTGCACTGCAATCCCGAAAGGCACATGGTTCAATGCACCAGCTGGTCTGTGGGAGAAGGATGGGCAATCTCCTTTCACATAATTAAACTCCCCTGAAAACCTGCTGGAAGATCTGCTACGGGTCGGTTCTGACTCGATGGTACTCAACAACAAGAAGCCACCAGAGCTCCCTCTAATAGACACTGTAAATTGGTTGCTGTAGAGTTGATACTGACTCCTGTTGACTCGTGTGTCCCAAATACTGCACAGGGTTTTCAATGGCTATATTCTTTCAGAAGCATATAAGTAGGTTTCCTGAGACACCTCTGGGTGTGTTTGAACTGTTAACTCTTTGGTTAGTAGGTAACACTTACCCAGCTATCCAGGGACTCCTACCAGCCACTGGAGGACATATTAGTCTGAAACATAGCCTGAGGTCAATTTTTCATTCTTAGTATAATTTTCTTTTTATCTATAACTCTTGCCCATTAAAATATGGCTATAGGAATGAAGCTTATTGTACCAGAATAAGAATAATGACCTTTTCTGGGATACATTTCATTCCTATCTCAATTTTTGAGAATAGGAAGAAATGAAAGATTGTCCACACTAGGCTATTGTTGTTAGGGTCTCTGCTGAATCAGTTTTCTAACCATAGTGATCCCATGTGATACAGTAGAACTGCCCTGGTAGAATTTTCTAGGTGTACTTTTTTCGCTTATGTACTCTGGTGGCCTAGTGGCAAGAAGCTGCAATGCTATCAATCCCAACTGCACACGGTTCAAAGCCACCAGCTGCTCTGCAGGAGAAGGTTGGGCAATCTCCTCCTACGTGATTAACTGTCTCTGAAAACTTACTGGAGAGTCAGCTGTGGATGGGTTCTGACTCAACAGCACACAAAAACAACAACTCAGTAGGGAGTTGTGCTGCTAACCCAAAGATCATGCCTCTCTGGGGATTCGAATCCACCAGGGACCCTGTGAGGAAAAGATAGGCCTTCTCCTTACATGTGACTTCTTGTTGTTGTTATGTGCTAGTCGAGTCACTTGTGACTTATAGCAATCCTATGTACAGCAGCCCTAAACCCTGCTCTGTCCCTTGCCAATCTTACTGTCTCTGACACACTTATCCACATTAACCCAATGACGAAATTAATCCATCTCATTGAGGGTCATCCTCTCCTACACTTGTCCCTCCATCCTCCCAAGCATGAAGTCCCTCTCCAATGACAGATAACTCCTTGCAACATGTCCAAAGTATGTCAGACGAAGCTTCAGAATCCTTGCCTCCAAGGAGCAGCCTGACTTTACCCTCTCCAGGAGGACCTTCTTTGTTCTCCTAGCAGTCTGTGGTATATTCAATACTCTTCTTCAGCACCACAGTTCAAAGACATCAACTCTCCTTATACCATCCATAGTTATTGTCCAGTTCTCTGATGCATAGCAAGTAATGGCAAAGACCATGGCCTTTATCAAGAGCACCTTAGTCTCCCGACTGACTTCGTTGCTCTTCAGTACTTTGGACAGGTCTCTGACAGCAGACTTTCCTAGTGCAATTAATCTTTTAATTTCCTGGCTGCTGGTACCAAGAGAGTTGATTTTAGAGGCATGTGACTTACAGTCTTGGAACTCCAAAGGAGAGTCACCTATGAGTTGCTGCCAAGTCAATGACAGAGTTTGAGTTTGAAACTTAGGGGATGAAATGGCCAGGTCCCTCTCACATAGAGCTGCTGAGAAAATCCAAACTGCCAACTTAGGAGTTAGAAGGTAGCGCTTAACTGTTGAATCCCCATGGCTGTCTGTACCAAGTTATATAATAGGGGGGGGGAAATAATGCTAATGTGTTAGATAAGAAAAAATTTTATAATGGTTAAGAGGGTGGGATAAGAAGGCAGATGGGCAAAAAAGGTTGACGCCGGTAGTCTCCTGATAATGAACTTCAACTCTGCCTCACAACTTGCAAGACCAGGAAAGAGATGGTAACAGTAAACACTGAGGTAGGAATTTTTCTTTTCTTATTAACTAAAGTTCAGAAAAGCTTATTAATTTGCTCAAAGCCACACAGCTGGTAGAAAATACAGGACTATCTGGTTCCAAAGGAACTCTGGTGGCCAGGGGGCAGGGAAAGGGGCTCTGCCAATGAAAATTTTACCCTTTGGATCCACCAGCTTCTCTGATGGATAAAGATGAACAATCTCCTCGCATGCGGTTGGTTGTTGTGTTTTCGTGCTGTTGAGTCAGAATGTACCCATAGTTGGCCCTCCAGGGGGCTTTCAGAGGGAGTGGCCCATCCTTCTCCTGCAGAGCAGCTGGTGGATTAAAAAATGTTTCTGAGGAACAAACTGGGAGGGGAGAGGTTGGGCAAGGAAAAAAGTGCAACAATGAATGAATGGAAATCCAAAGTCTCTGTAAACTTTCATTAAAATTAATAAAAAAAGGAAAAAAGATTATATATTATTACAATTTTGCTTTTAAAAATTTCTGTCCTTCACCAAAATTTTAAACTATTATGTGTTTGCTTAAATATCTGAAAAGATCATTTATTAATATATTTGGAGATTGTCATATATAATTTCATATTTTAACATTTAAAATATTGATAATTAATGTTATTTAAAAACCTTGTGATGAAAATATTTAAAAAAATATTATAATTTTTTTTAAAAAAAGTTTGCTTTTGGGATTGTAGCACAGCTTTTTACCACTAGGCCACCAAAATCTCCCTTTACAGCCTCTTAGAACCCACTCAAGGGCCAGCTATAACCTTGTCGGTTCTTACTTCAAGGCACACAACAACGTCTAACTTTGAAACCTGCACTCCTAACCTGCACTCATGCAGCCTCAGGAGGTCTGACTCTGTAGACCTTACACCTGTGGGCAGATAAACCAAGTAATAACAAAAGACCATGAAAAGTTGTTGGAATCAGTGAGTGGGAAAGTGTAAACAATGTCACCGCAGGCACTCTAAGGACTATGTGAGAGTCAATGTCTTGTCACAGGAATCTATTAAGGTTTGCTCTAAAATATGCAAGGAAAAGGAAGAGGGGAAAGTCAGCACCTTTATCAGACAGGCAATTTTAGAACATCTGCTAAATATCCTACAAAAAATAATTCTTCAGAGGAGGCAGTGGTGATTCAGCATAGAATTCATATCTTCTATTTAGGACATGGGGTTTGGTTCCAGGCCAGTGTATCTCAAGCCTAACTGCCACCCATCTGTTGACAGAAGTTTGTGTGTAGCAATGGTGCTGAGCAGGTTTCTTCCAGATTAACATGGACTAAGAAGAAAGAGCTCATAGTTTGCTTCTAAAACTCAGCCACTGAAATGCTCTTATATAATAGTCCAACCTTCAATCCTGGGTCATAGGACCTTGCAGTGTTTCATGCCTGGAGGGGCGGGGTCACCATGATCTAAGAGCTGCAACAGGGCAGCAAACAATAACAACCACATGCTTGAAGAAATCTGGAATATAACCCAGTAGTAGAAAACAAAGCCAAATACATAAGATGAGCCTAAGCAGGACCATATTGGGTATTAATGAAGATATTTCATCTACCTGAGAGAGTGGAAGGACCATGGCAAGAAGGACTAAAGAAACAAAACGCGTCAGGAAGATAGGTGAAGTTCTCTCCAGCGAATGGGTTTTGAGATCAAGGATTTGCCTGGTAACTGGGGCAAATTATTTGGTCATTTTATTGGAGAGGAATTATTTGCCTAGTTTGGTGCCATAGCCTCAACTTTAGAAGAAGACCTCCATGTGCCGTTTTGTATATCTGACAATTGTAAGTAATTTTCTGCATCTCAAAACCTTTTTGGGATTTGGAATCAGAAAGATGCATGAAAGAGCTGCATTTTTTTTTTAAACTTCCAGTCTGCCAGGGCACTATAGAAGACTTCTTATTCTTTTTTCTGATATATAAAGAACAACGGGAGACATTTCTCCTCGTCTATACTTATTTCTCTTTGTCTATGAATAAGTAAGAGTGAAGAAGAATCTATGCCCTTAAACTGTGGTCCCGTGGACTGCCAAAAGATCAAACAAGTCTGTCCTGGAGAAAGTGCAACCGAGGTGTTCCTTAGAGGCAAGGATGGTGAAACTTCTCACATTCTTTATGTACGCTGTCAAGAGGGTCCAATCTTTGGGCGGAAACTTCATGCTTGGAAAAGTGAAGAGTCAGAGAAAGAGAAAAACTTCTATGAGACAGATTGACACAGTGACTGTAACAGTGGGCTTGAGCATATTTGAGATGATGGTGGTGCACGGTAGGAAAGACTTCTGATCTGTTTTACGTAGGGTCACTGTGAGTCATATTTGACTTGATGGCATCTAATAACAACAATATGCTTAATGAGATCAAACCTTGAATTGACTGGGTTTGTGTTTAGCTTTGGTTTCCGCTTTCAGTTGCTCTCTCTTTCTCCCAAAACCTTGGATTTAATGCCTGTTGATCCACACACAGGCTTCTCCCACCATCTGATGCCTTTGCCTAAGCTATTTCTTGGCTTGCAGATTTTTCCATTATAGCCTCCTTTTCACTAGTGAACACCTATTCATGTTGCAAGAATCCCCTGATATGATGCCTGCTTCATGCAACCTTCCCTGGCACGTCCCTGTTCTGCCAGAATGGGAAGCAGCCTGCTTCTGTTGCATACCAGCTTATTCCTACACTAAAACAGCTGTTGGGGGTACTCTAATTTATGTCCAAATCCCATGTTAACTCATACAGTAATTGAGGACTGAGAAGCACATTCCATCACATTTTACATTTCCATTTATCACAATGTCTTTACACAGAATATGTATTTGCTTTGTTGATAACAAGGCACTCTGGTGGCACAATTAATGTGCTTGACTTCTAACCTAAAGGTTGACAATTCAAATCCAGCTAGCAACTTCTTGACAGAAAGACCCAGATATTTCTTCCTGTAAAGATTACAAACTAAAAAATCCTACTTTTTTTTCCACATGAGATCACTATGAATCAAAATTGGCTAGACCCAACACAACACATTGAGAACATGGATTAAAGGAATGAGATGATGAAGGCTTAAAATCTAAGGGTTGAAATGTGCACTTGGTCTCTGCTATTTTATAGCTGTGTGCCTGTAGGGAAATTACATAAGCTTTCTGATTCTAGTTCTTCATGTTTGACATAAAAGTAATCCAATATACCTTGTTGCCAAGATGAAATGAGATAATGTACATTCATATGACTGTAGAAGCTAAAAGAAAAGAAAGGACCTCTTCAAATGAGTAGTTTAAGAAAAGGTTTCTGTTATGGACATCTGATAATATCTGAATTATTTTTGTTCTTTGTTTTCTTTGTAGCCGCGAGGAGGGGTGGAAGAAGGCCCTACTGTACTGAGAAAGGCTGGTCTAGTAGAGAAACTTAAAGATCAAGGTAATTTTTTTCCAGTTTATCAATTTGAATCACTCCCCACTCTGAAGTAAGAAGAGCTTGGTCAATTGGGATGGGTCACGAGTGACATTTATATCACAGAACTGTAGGATTGATTGTAATTTCAGGACCATACATTGTAAAATAAGCTTATGGGGAGGAGAGGATGCCCCCGCCCCCCGTGTGTGTGTGTGTGTGTGTGTGTGTGTGTGTGTGTGTGTAGCTCTGGGTCTCAGGACAGGAAAGTTGAAGAGGGGCAATTAAGGGGGTTAAAAAATAAAGGCTAAGGATAAATGCTGATGGTTGTAGAGGGGCTTTAGGCCTTTTTTTCATAGGGTTGCTATGTGCCATGCTCGACTTGAAGGCAATCAACAACAACAAGGACAACCAGAAGAATAGTACTAGCAAATTGTGATTTGCCACTGAGTCAATTATTCTGATTTATGACCAATCTGTATGTGCAGAGAATTGTTCCACAGGCTTTTCGAGGCTCTGAGATTTGAGAAGCAGTTTGCCGGGCTTGCCTTTTGATGTGTCTCTGGGAGGGTCCAAACCCCTAAACTCTTGGCTGGTAGTCCAGCACTTACTTACCCATATGTGCTAATCAGGGACTCCTGCTACTGGTAAAAGCATCTTTATTAGTGAAGTAAAATGAAGAGTAAAAATAATCATAATAACTCCAAGTTTTTTCATCGTATGTTTAGACTCACACCCCTATGGATAAACTTGTGAATGCAAAACTGTATATAGATAAATATATATTTTTGAAGTATGTTGTCGTGTCAAGTAGGAACCAACCCATAGCTGACCTTCCAGTGGGTTTTCAGTGGCAATGAATCAAACGGGAGGAGATTGCCGATTCTTCTCATATATATTTAAAAAA